AAACCATTCAAATGTTTACATACTGGTGACATTATCGAAAATGTGAAATGAATTACAAAAAAAAAAAAAAAAGTGAACGAAATACAGGTAAAAATAAGTGAAAATTTATCATGGTTATTTGTGATCTTGTTACATTTCACTCGCTTGGATCCAGATGAAACTGAATAACTTGGCCTCTCCTATAATGCCGCCAGGAACATAAGCTGAATCGTGTAGCCTTGACCTGACTTCTGCGAATTTGAGTTACAGACTACCAGAAAGCGGCGCGTCCCTCCTACCTGATGGCGTGATGTGGTGCCAGTCGCTGACAAAGGCCGAGCCCGGAGACGAAAGCCAGGACGTGAGGAGAAAGAGCAGGAGGCCGAAGGAGGGTGAGGACGCTGCTGCCATGATGCTGGGGAAGAATGACAGAGAGAAGAGTGAACGGGTAACACAGTGATTATAATTACCAAGATCGCATGTCCGTGTGGGGGGGGGGGGGGGGGGTGCCCCGCTGCCATGATGCTGGGGAAGAATGACAGAGAGAAGAGTGAACGGGTAACACAGTGATTATAATTACCAAGATCGCATGTCCGTGTGGGGGGGGGGGGGGGTTCTGCCTTCCTCCCTTCCCTCCTGCCCATTTTCATCTCAGAAACTTTTCAAACTTTGCTGCTGCAACTAAAACTGCATTTTTTTGTGGATATGACATTTTAAAAATAATAATTTATATATACAGTAGAAGCTATAGATAGATATAGATATATAGATAGATAGAGAAAGAGATAAAGAGAGAGAGAGAGAGACAGAGAGAGACAGAGAGAGAGAGAGAGAGGGGGGGGGGAATAAGTGCCATAAATGCATCCATCTCTGCAATGCGAGCCCCCTCTCTCTGTTATTGGTTTGGCGATCGACTCCCACCATCGCAGGAAACTGATGATGGGCGCTCACGACTGGCCACAGAAGACAGCATTTCTGACTATGGAGCAACATCCCCTGTGTCTCCCAAAAACGGAACAAATGGCTTTCCAAAAGCTGCATTGCCACGGACTTATGTGCACTGCTGTCTGATGAAGCTCGTCGCGAATTGGCCTTGTGTGACTGAGAAAGTTTTTGGAACACCAAAGTGTAACGAGCTGTGCTCGGCATTGTTTGAGGGGGAAAAAAAATCCCTCTGTGTGACCTCTTTCTTTGCAAATATGCAATTTTGTATGTTTATATGAAGCGCCCAGTGTATGTACAAATTTGGTTTTATGGCATTTTCTTTTGCGGCTTTTAATCAGGTGCATTTTGTAGTCTGGAAATTATGGTTCTCCATTCGGGTCTAGCGTACATATTTATTCCAATTTAATTGCCGCAAACACTGCAAAAGCTCAACTTCACTGCCCGATGTTGTCAATATGTATATGTTATATGGACATTTGTGAATCTCAAATTTTTAATAGTGTGTTTCTTGTGCGGCATTACTAATCACTTCGCTACTGTTTGGACCGAGAATCCCCCATCACATGACTGTTAAAGGCTTTCACACTTCTTATATTCCATTTAAACATTTAGTCCTTGTTGTGCCCATTCTCTGGGAGAGGACTGGTCACTTTGGACCTCAATTCATGAAAAAATAACACCTTTAAAAGTAATTGTATAGCATCAATCATCAATATAGACAGGGAGCGCCAGGTCCAAGTAAATAAGCGTCTGCTTACAGAGTGCGAGTTCAATCAGTCAAATCCAAATATAGGCCAAACTCTGCCCACACCCACGGCTATTTACAGCTGTGTCCCCGCAACTTGTTTCTGGGGAGGTAAAAAAAAAACACATCCAAGAGGCACACTCTCTTAAACAGCTATTAATTCTCACAGTACATCAAATACAACATGCTTTAATTATCACCGCAGAGGAGACACTGTTTGCGGGCAAAAATATAGCACCATATACATCGTGTTATAATGTGATTGACAGAGACACATCTTCCAAACATGGAGCCCAAAAAAATGTTTTCTCTAAACTAAGCATGAGCAAAATTGAAAATTTACACTGGCTCAGCACAGCAGATTGTGTGCAGACGGTGAGAGCAAATATGATGCCCAAAAATGAAACGTAAAAATGCAATTCATTTGACATTAATAAATCTTTTAAAACAAGAAATGTGTCAGTAAAGCATGAAAGAAACAAAGCAATAAATCATTGAATGTGTGTGTGTATGTGTGAGGGGTGGAGTATGGAAAGATTCCAGAGGCCACACAAGGCCAAGTCATACAATGCAAGAATTCAAGCCAGAAAGCTATCCAGCCATTCACTCATCTGCCCTGACAGAGAAGCTCCATTTAAGAACAATTATTTTCCAAATTAGTCAGCAGATCCTTTTATCCCTCAGCTCATTAAGCTTTCATCAGTCTCACTGTCACTTTTATTAAGCGGATGAACAAAAGAAAGATGTCAACTGATGCATATATGTACAGAAAAAAAAAAACCCAACCAACTAGAATGGCTTTCAGTTATACAAAGAAGATTTTACTCGCTGATGTACATCCACTGTCGAATGCCCATGCGTCCAAGACAAATGCCCCTTCAAATGATTTGATGGCCCCAGAAAAATAAATAATTCTTCTATGGGTGGCCATTGAAATAGTTGTCAAAGCTGTGTGTGTGTGTGTGTGTGTGTGTGTGTGTGTGTGTGTGTGTGTGTGTGTGTGTGTGTGTGTGTGTCTCTGGCGGGGTGTACCCTCACGTGGATCCCCAGAGCTGCAGCTCACCTCCGCAAGCACCTAAATTTAGTCTGCAGGGGCGATGGTGGCTCCAATCGAAAATATCTGCCTTGGCTCAGTAAAGGTTGGGAAACGCTAGCTAAGTGCATTGGGTTAAACTTTCATTGGCCGATTTCGCCCCAATCACTACATATTGTCACCCTAAACTGACCCCTTACTCCTAATCCTTGTCGTGGACCGTGTAGTAAATAACAACCCCAGGTCACTATAATGTATGCTAATGCTAGTGATGTAACGATAACGGTCTCTATTCCCATTACAACGGCGATATCGTCATCATGTCACGATATTAAAAGCAGCACAACCAAAAAGGCTAGATTATTTTCCATTTTTGCAATTCCGGCACCCTCTGGTGATTTTTTTTTATTCATGCGGTTTAATTTGAATTAGGCATGTTTTGACCACCTATGTTTAAGAACCCGGAGCGGCCCAGTGGTCCTTCGGTTTCCTCCCACATTCCACATTCACATTGAACACTCAAAATTGTCCCTTACGTGTGAGTGTGTGTGTGGATGGTTGTTCGTCTGTGTGTCCGCTGCGATTGGCTGACAACCGGTTCAGGGTGTCCCCCGCCAACTGCCCGAAGACGACTGGGATAGGCTCCAGCACCCCCCGTGACCCTTGTGAGGATAAAGCGGATCGGAAAATGGATGGATGGATGGATGGATGTTTAAGACCCACGCTAAGCGCCAGATGAAGGGAAACATAAGACTAGGGTTGGGGGGGGGGGGGGGGGTGTGGGGAGGTGGAGCGCGGTGTCTAAAAATAGCAATGGGGTCACTTTCAATACCGTCATAAATAAATGCAGTGGGCGTGGACCTAATATGATATTAAATATAATTGTTTTGATAGCACGTACAAATGTGCAGTTGTATTTTCAACTCAGGCGACTGTCTGCGCAGAGATATTGATAGGTATAGCATAGCTATCGATAAACGTGGCTGCCATTTTGAAATGAGACATTATAAAATGACATGTCGCTTATATCATAGCTGTTGCCGGCGATTAAGCATTAGATTGAACTCTTAAGCAGTCACTGAAGCCAGGTAGAAAGTTTCTTCACACCTTTGCCTGTTCTACTCACACAGAAGAATACGAAGAGTGTTTGGCCACAGGAGATGCAAATAATCTAGACCCTGGATAAAAAAAAAAAATGTGGATTTAAAAAAAAAATTTAATTAAAACCAGTCTCCTTTTCCAATATGATTCTGTATATGACCCTCATTAGTTAAGTTAATAAACCTGTACAACATTATATGGTAGTTCCTCTACCTCACGCTGAAGTTAGTAAATTACACATTCAGCAACTCTTCAACAAAACATTACCATCAAATGATTTTATTTATCAGTCCAAATAAAATCCCAATCACTGCAGTCATTTTTCGGAAACAAAAATATGACGCTCGAGTAATAACTGCTGCTTGCACACAAACTGGCAGAGTTGTGTTTTTGCATGTAGATCTCAGCCAGCGACAAATCCCAACTCCCCCCCAAAAAAAGTCTGCCAGAGCCAATCAGAGAAGAGGGAGGCTTTGCATGGGTCTCATGGGGTCCTTCTGTAAACAGAAGGACTTTACAGTCAACTTTATACTAACACTACCACACACACACACACACACACACACACACACACACACACACGCACACACGCACACACACACACACACACACACACACACACACACACCACACACCACACACACAGCCTAATTAATCATATGTGTTTACACAAGACCAGCTGACATGAAAGGGGGAGGCTACCAGTTGAATGTAAGATGGAGCAATAGTGAAAAGATAGACTGAAGGTTATGAGGGGAAGAAGTCACATCATTTGCGTGTTGGAAAAGTGCACGCAGTCACACACGCAAAAAGGGCCCTGGAAGACAGTACTCAGTTGGCCCAAGGTTGGATTCATATTTGACTGCACCTTGTTTTTCTTGTAACTGACACCGAAAGTATCTTTCAAATGTTTTCGTTTCTTTCCCTAAGGTTACGTGGCATACTCAACAATGACAAATCACGCCTGTCACTATTGCACGCATCCAGATGACTCTTGATTTTTCCCCAGAGGTTCCCACAATTTTGGCCGTCCAGAGTCCCACCTGATCAATGTCTGCATGATATTCAGCAACAACTCCACTGCGCATGTAGGAGTGCTTGGAGAAGCCGATGTAACGCATGCAACGCACTTTTACAGTGTGTTAAGAGCAGAAACTATCGCACGTACATGTAGCGATTTAAAATGTTTAAAATGTCTACCGGCGCTCCAGATTCTCATTCTTTGCCAGTGCCATTGGTGATACCGATAACTATGTTCTTCTCGCGAAAAAAGACACCTGCACTACAGCCTTGAGCAGAGAAAGACACTACGAATGTTACCCCCCGCGATAAACGAGAGTTCACTGTATTTATAATTTTTTTTTTTTTTTAGTGGCATTAAAAAAAAAAAATACAAAAATCAGCCCCTCGCACCGGGCATCCACTGTGCTTTGCATGCCACCGGGCAGAAAGAATCTGATTTATTCTTCTTTCTGCTTCTTTTCATGCTAATTTGCACTTTCATGTCAATATATTTCTCCTTTTTCTTTGACAAAAAAAAATGTATTGACCAAATAAATATGGCCCCTTATCAGAGCTATATTGATATTTT